CGAGAAGCTTCGAAATGGGCGTCCAAGGCCCTTGCATCCTTATCGCGCATACTTGTGGTACGGGCCGACTGCAGCGGAGTACTGCCAAGCACTCCGTTCTCTGAGGCCTTGCGTCATCCGTGAGAAAGCAGGGGGGCTTCCGAGGAGGGGCTGGGGTGAGCCGCCCCTGCCAGAATCGAACCACAAACAACACCATAAGCATACTTTTACATACTTGAATTCGGCGACTTTAGCGTAATAATGATTTATTTGATGGCATACACGTATCTTCGTAAGGTTGGTCACATGCTTGCAATACTCAATAATCAAGCTGATAGCCATCGATCACGATATCTTCTATTTAATCGCTTCGCTGATTCCACCGGCCCATATTGCCTCGCCGCTGTCGTTTGTCGGGGTGTTGTTGTCAATGCGGTGCGGTTGGGCGGCTGTCATTTCTCGGAGGCGGAGGGTGGCGGGTCAGAGGCCTCACTGATGTTGGTTGGGCTCTCGTGGTTGGCCTCTCAGGGGCCTTTTGGGAGGTAGTTTTGAGGCCTCTTGGGGGCCGTGTTGGGGCCTCTTGGGGCCTCTTGGGGGTCTCTTGGGGCTTCTTGGGGTGCCTCTTGGGGGCCCCTTGGGGGCCCCTTCGGGGCCCCTTGGGGCCTCCTGGGGGCCTCCTGGGGGCCTCTTGGGACTGAAGGCTGGACTTTTCGGTTCCTGGTCACCTTCTTCGGCTCCTCTTGGCGCCGTTTTGGGGCTCTCTTGGGCCGTCTTGGGCGCCTCTTGGGCGTCTTGGGGCCATCTTGGGCCGTCTTGGTGCTGTCTTGGGGTCCTCTTGGACCCTCTTGGGGCGATCTTGGGAGCCTCTTAGGCCATCTTGGAGCGTCGGGAAGCCAAAAAAGGAGAAACCCGAAAGTGTGTCCCAAACTTAAAGGAAAAACAGTGAGTTTTGCCTCTTGGGGCCCTCTTGGGAGTGCTTTCGAAGGCCTTTGGGGGCGTCTGGAGGCCATGGTGGGCGTCTTGGAGCGATCCTGTGGCATCGCCGGCCGATCTCTCGAGGACTCCAGGGGCTCTCGGACCGTCTGGGCGCTCTCTTGAGGCCGTCTTGGGAGCCTATTGGTCAGGAGGGAAAAAAAACACACAGACACAATTAATCGTCCACTCCCAGGAAAATATGGGAAGTGAGGGGGAAAACAGAAACCCAGAAAATATGTGAAAATATGGGGAATCTTTTTATTTGTGTGTATTTATTTGTGTGTCCCAGGGCCCCTTCAACTTGTCGCGTCGGGGCCCCCAGGGGCCGCCTCGCGCGTGCGAACTTGTTATACTGTTATAACTTGTTGCTGGTGATCTCAGCACGCCTCTGGCCCGTTGGGCCGGCGAATGAGGCTATGCATAGTTATCTGCATTTAACGTTCTCATTTCTTGTTGGGCGTCTCGGAGGTCCGGGCGGATTTCTTGGATCGGCGCTATAGGCCCTCCTGGCGGCGCCTCCGGCGCCGCCCCTGGGGCGCTCCGCGCTCGAGGTGGAGGGGGGTCCAGCGCCGATCCAAGAAGTCCACGCGGACCTCCGAGGAGTTCTCTCTGTGCCGTCTCTTTCAGGAGGGGAGAAAGCACACAGACACAATGAATCGTCGATCCCCCAGAAAGTATGGGAAAGTATGGGAAGTGGGGGGGAGACAAACACCCAGAACGCATGTGAAAATGTAGGGGATCCTGTTACCTGTGTCTAGTTGTTTGTGCGCCCCAGGGCCCCTTCGCTCCTGCGCCCCTGCGGAGCACGCCGGTGGGGCCTCCGAGGCGGGGCGGCGGGGCTCCTCTGCTCCGGGGCAGCTTCCCGGGGGGGGGGGGCGGCGGGCTCGGAGAGGGGGGAGGGAGGGGGGGAGGGTAGAGGGAGAGAGGAGGAGGAGGAGCGAGGAGGAGGAGGAGGAGGATGGAGGAGGAGGAGGGGGAGGAGGAGAGGAGGAGAGGAAGGAGGAGGAGGAGGAGGAGGAGGGGGGAGGAGGAGGTAGGGAGGAGGAGGGAGGAGGAGGAGGAGGAGGGAGGAGGAGGAGGGAGGAGGCGGAGGAGGAGGAGGAGGAGAAGGAGGAGGAGGAGGGGGGGCGGGCTGCGTCCGCCCCCAAAATCGCCCAGCCATCGCCGGCGGGGGCCCCGGCAGCCTACCCCGCCCCAGGAGTAAGTCTTGGGCCTGTCCCTCCACAGGAGGAGTATGCGAAAAGAGTCAAACAATAGTCTGGGGGCGATTTTCCATTGTTTTTGCCCATGGGGGGGCATTTTTTGAGTATTTCGAATTTTTCCCCCAAAATCCCTTTGTGGGGGGACAGGCCCGACCGAACCCCAGGAGCGTGCGGAGTTGCCATCGGGTCGGACAGGCGCGGAATATGCGAAACGAGTCAAACAATAGTCTGGGGACGATTTTATCTAACAGCGAAGACTGATAGGTTTCTAGTGGTGTCAAAAGAAAGCATCATGACTCCCCAGGGGGGTCTGGGCGGGATCTAGACGGGTGCCGGGGAAATCC